CATTTCATGCATGATTTAAGAAGCTGAGTGTAGATAATTGTATCTGAAATTATACCACTAAAAATGTAGTCCGGTAAATGAGAGGTCAAGTAGTGGCTTTTGAGGGATGGAAGGAGATTCCTTCTTTGTTTGTTGCATGCCATTTCTAAAGAAGTGTTTCTCAAATTCTGGTTTACAACTAGGAAGTTATAAAAGGTTTCAAAGACTTTAGGGGTGGGAGAAGTATGTACAAGTTCTATTCCTCTAATGTGGAGAATGACGAGTGAATACGAGTGGGTTGTAATACCTGGCTGGGTACGTTTATCTTAGCCAGAGAATTGCTACCTACCTCTCCCTGCTGGCACTGGTTTGGTTCTTCCTCGGCAGAAGAATTGACTCAGGGTTGCATGAAGACTGACAGGCCAAAAAGTTGAGAAAGATTACTTGAGAGAAGACATTACTCAGAAGCAATTGGCAAAGCGAGAGCTGAACTATTGCTTTGAGTTTGGCACAGGGGCAAGGTCCCTTTTCCCAGCATGGAGGGGGCAGAGGAGGAACAATGATGACAAGGGGCAGTCCCAAGACAGGTATTCTACTTGCCAACTCTGATGTTAGACAGATGGTCAAGGTCTAAAAAAACCCAAACAAATCAATCTCTCCTCTAAAGCTTAATAAAGAAGTATTATTCAAAAATTCCCTTTATACTGCAAAGTAGGAAAAGCTGTTTAAGCTAACACATATAAACATATATGTTAGGTGTCTGTGTTACTCCCAGTGCTCTGATTTGCTATAGCAGGAACCACTCACTCTCTGCCATGGCAAAGAGAGCAGACAGTAAAGCAAGGAACAGAGGCCAGTGAGAAGTTGCAAAGAACAGTAGCAAAGAAGTGTGGCAAAGCTACAAAAAGCAGATAAGCAACTTAGCAACTGTTAAGATTAGGTCCTGTTACCCAACAGATTTTATCAATTGAGGGCTGCTACTTTAATGATATTTCAAAGTAGACAAGAACTGACCCAGCAGTTGTCACATTAGAAGAAAACCGATTCTAAAATAGTTTGGTATTTGCTTCAGGCATTAGATGTTGTAAATCATCCTGTTTACCTAACTTGTTGGAATTTTCTTTCTTCCCCCCACCCTTAAATAACATTAAGTGATCTGTGTTCGCAAGTGGTTCATTTTGAACATCAATTCAGATCTGTTATTCTAAGTTCCCGGGTGGAAGCTTGACTGGTGTGTTTGTTGTGATGCTCCACATTTGAATGCAGTCCTTCCTGATGCCAGTCAAGCCCTGGCAGAAAGCTTGTACTAGAACCACAAGGCTATTGCATAAAAGGGAGTCACCAGTCAGACAAGTCTGGTCTAGGAGCTTACAGTTGGCTCTGGGCCCTGTGGTGTGAGCATTACTTAGCACTCTAGATCTCCCTGCACTGTCTGTACAGGAGTTAAGAGCCTTGGCAGCAATTCTGAGCCATATTTGTCCTTTGCATATCCTATTAGTGACTTCAGCTACTGTGCAGCACAGCGGCAGGAGTCTAGCTACCTTGTTCCCTGACAAAATGGGCAACTGCTCCAGCCATGAAGCAACTGTTCCTGCTCTACAGACTCCCATAGGCTAAACTCATCTGCCTTTACCATCTGGGAGCAATCTGCCAAAGTGATTTGAAGAGACTTTCATATTATGGCCCTTTGCAGAAGCTACACAGTTGTGCTCATTCAGAAGCAGCAGAGGCTACAAACAACATTGGTAATATCTAAACCTTAAGCTTAAATTGATCTTCTTGTACTATTATCTATTGGAGCAGGTTCTGTGTAAGGTTTATAGGACCCCTGAGAGCGCGTAGGCAAGTGTTTCCATTAATATACAAATATCTTAGTTCCAAAAATAAATAAAAGCAATGAAAAATGTTCCAATGGTACATCCACTCAACTCTGGATCTTTTGCCACATGTTTCACTTTTGTCCAGATTCTAGCATTACAGAGCAATGGGCATGCTGACTTCAAAGCACTTTGAACTTTCATAAGTTTTGAAGTCACAGCTGAGTCAGAAAATCTGTATCTTTTTCATGTGTAGCAAGAAAGATTTTAAATGCTGGGTTTAGATGTCTGCAAAACAAGGAGGGAATGAAACAAACTTGATGAGTTTGACTTCATACAGCTGTATTTGAGGGGAGAAGCAAGAGCTCAGAAACATGTTGATGAGGTTTATCTACATTCTTTAAACTGATCATTTCCACATTTTTTCTGCTTAACAATAATATTCTTGGTCTGAAGATCCTGTGATTTTTATTTTACTTTGTAATATTAAAATTTAAATACAAAGTTAGCAATTTTTTTTTGCCTGAGAATTTCCTTTTATTTATTTTGTTAAGAACTATTGAGGGACTGAAAATAGATTTGAGCCATAAAGCTAAGTACATAAAAGTTTACATACTGATAATAAGTCTAGGTCTGAAGTTGAACGCAGATCCTTCTTTATACTGAATGAGGCATCACAGCCTCTTATTATCCTTTTAAGGTTTGATTAGATGCCAGTATAATTAGAACATTCTTTGGCACTTATCATGTGTCTTCATGATCACAGGCTGCTTTGTGTGCATGCATGTGCATGTTATGCAGCAATGCTACCACCACACACCATGGACTCACAAATGCTATACCATTTTGTCCAGTAACTTTAGGGACTTCTGCAAGCAAAGGACTGTTTTATTTTTCGTGATTGGCACTACTGTGAACTCCTACCAGCTCTTGGCATTGTATTTGAAGCTTTACAAGTAGAAAGTCATTCTGCTCTTACTCCACAGTTCTATTTATAACTTGGAAGTGCAACCTGCAGCTTTGTAGAAAAAGGTCTCAGAGACACCTATGATTATAATGTTGATGAGAACTTGGAAAATATGTGCTTTAAAAACCTATATAGCAGAATGGACAGCTAAAATCAGAAGGAATAAACTCTCTGATAAGGCCATTTATAGCATATTTCAGCTGCAGAGATTCTTCATCTACTGCAGATGTAAAACCAAGTATGAAAGTCATGCTGTTTTGTTTCATTTGTGGGCTTTTACATTTAAACCTCCATCCAAAATGGATTACATTTACCCTCTAGAGAATAAAAAAGATGCTGATGAAGAGCTGAACAAGTGGCTAATTGCTGGGTCATAGACTGCCCTGGGCACATCCAGACAATTATGATCATACATAACCTTCAAAACAGTGTTAAAATATCTGCTGAAGTTATTAATTCCTGAATGTTGTTCATAATTTTATTTACATGCACGCTGGATTCAAGAGAAGATAAGAGCCTGTTGGCTTTGGCATAAATCATGAAAATATTTAGGGTCGAGGAACTCCTCAAAGACTGTCTGCTTTGGAAACTAAAGTGTATATAGCTTTATTTAATGCTAATAACCTTCTCTGCTGGACATTGGATAGAAAGGTGAGGTTATGGAGAAGAAACTCCATTATCCCATTGACTGATCACATTTTCGATTTCACATACGCAGTTGAGTCTTTAAAAATTATTCACTTAGATGTTGATGGCTTACTATTATGGCTCTTCTTTACCTGTTAGGAAGACAAACTTCAAGAGTTTGCTTAAGTGGAAGAATGGGTGTTTCTCTATAGAGCTGGCTCAGATTCCCTGGTAAGTAATCAAAGTGAGTATTGGCCCCTGGAAAGAATGAAAATGAAATAGGGGAAACCAAACAGTGCCCCATGCTAGAACTCATTACATGTTCAGATTTTGTAAAGTGTACAGTGGGTGGAATTTCAGTATTAGTTTTAGATGTCAACATTTATTCTAGATGCCTAAAGCTGTTTTGGTCTATTATTACTTATTTAGGACTACAAGTGTCAGCTATAGAGAAGGATGCTTAGGCAGAGAGGGAAAAAGGTAGGAAGATAATTTGTCAAATTCATCAATGAAAGAATAAAAATATTAAAAGTGGAATCAGGCTCTTACTCCAGACAAAACCTTTAACCTAACTTACTAAGCTAGTTCTCAGATGAACAAAATCACCTGAAAATAAAGCAGCTCTCAGATTGTGTGAGTGGAAAAAATAGTTGCTCATTAGGAAAATCTTCAAAAGTTTTCCAAAGCTTCAAAATCTTTTTAAATAGCTCAAAAGAACTATTTGGGAAAGCTTCCCTCTGACAGAGCCTTGAGTAAATCGATGACTTCTACCAACAAACTGCCTGACTCTGCCAACATCACTGAGCTTTTGATGCAGTGGCCTACTGCAGGTTAGGGACCACCATGGACGTTAACTTTCATGTTGAATTAGAAATAGGACCAAACTTCATTAATCATAAAGAAAATGGATTTCTCCAGAAGAAAGCATCTTTCTCCTTCAAACAAAACTGGACAGTGAGGTCCTATGCTTCTGGGAATAGGCTGATGTGTGTCTTGAAACTTTTAACAAATGCAACAGACTACAAAAAAAGTATGACCAGTGTTGCTTATATTATTGCTTGATTATTTCCAGATGTTACTTAATAGATTTGAAGTCTTGTTGAATTATTCCAGTATCTTGGTATGTCTTTTTGTACTACGCAAGAACAGTAAGCCACAGGACTGACATACAGAGTTCACAGCCTAGTACGGATTCTGGATAAGACGTGTCAACGCATTACAAGACAATAGTGTAGTTGAAACCAATTAAATTCACCTTCTCATTAAATTTGGTAAACTGCGTGGGGGGTTACAGTGAAACATTTGCTTCAGCATTACACTTGATTTCAAAATGTTATCATGCAAAGACAATGTAGCACACAGAAAACAGCAATATTAGTAAACAGAAAGAAACAAAAAGAATTGTTTCCTTAACTTAAAGTCACTATTTATGAATGGGCACTAAACAGTGAATAGGTTACTAATCGCCAGCTACAGATCACAAAAGAGAACATGCTTCTTTCTAGCAGCATCTATGCAGAAATCATTCCTACCTCAAAACTGTTCAACTGTGAATTTACTGTGACTAAGCAATGAATACAAGAGCCTTCCAACTACTAATTGTGGCTTACTATTTACAAACTTTATTTATAAACTCATTTTCATGCAAGTATAAAATACTAATTCCATGGACAAATACACATTTGTTCACCACTCTAAATTATATACATTGTATTTGCATCTAATATTCAGAGAAGTGCAAAGTCCACAGTGACGTAAATAACAAGTTTTGTAAACTATTAGATGACAAGCTCTCAAAAGATAGTAGTAACAGTATGATAATGTACTTTTGTTGTATACTGCTGAAATCAAACATTTTTGCAGTAAAAGAACATACATTTCAGCTACATTCAAGTGATTATTTTATTACCATGTATTATGTCTTACAAACTTCAGTGGAGATGAGCAAGAGCGCTACAGAACCATACGTTAATGCAAGAGGTGTATTGCATGGTATGTGCAGGCATAGCAAAGGAGAGACAAGAACTGGAAAGAAAAACAAGGTAAGAAAACTTGTACAAAAATGGACAGTAATACTGACTAACACTGGGTTATAATCTTACTTATAACAGACCTGAAGGGCTAATAGAGATCCAATTCAGAAACACCTGTGCACTGTAGGTACAGTTTGGTGCAGATCAAGAGTGCACTAATACAGTCAACGTTTTACGCTTAAGATAATGCACAAAATACGCTGATATGCATATAAACAACTAATTTGTTCACATTAAGTAGAGCAGCACAGTTTTAGTACTGCATCCTTGGCACTTAGTGATAGGACAACATGTATTTGGTTTAACTAAATTCATAAACAGGATATACACTGGTTTTGTAAGATGGAAAACATACATTATCCCTTTGAACCTTCCAGTTTTACAGCATTATTCTAATTTTCAAGTTCAAATGCCAACATGATACACTAGCTAGATATGGAAGACGTTTCAGATATTGGCTTAAAACAAGACCTTGAATTAAAAAAAATTACAGAATCAAAAATTAATTCAAATGATACTAAGTAAATCTGTTACTGATGTAATTTGTGCTGAAAACAAATTCTGAAACTTTAAAAGAAAAAAGCAACCTCATAATACAACCCACAATGTCTTTACGGGCTTTTCCTGAATAGTAATTGCTTCCTTAATGTCCCTTTCATATATGGTAATTTTACTTAAAAGAACTGCTGAAGTTATTAATCTGAACATTTGTAACTGAGTTAGAAGTTTGGCCTAGCATATCATATCACACAGAATGGAAGAAAATATGCTCTTCTTCAAAGGAGCATGTTTCAGCTATGAAAGAATTCCAGTTTTATGTGATTGTCCTTTATTAAACAATATTAACAACTGTCTGGAGAGAGTCAACTTACTTTTGCCTGTTTAAAACAAACTGGCTAAATTGCCATTTTATATTACATATAACAAATGTAATACAATTGTTCTTAACATATGGTGATGTAACACTTTAAAATTAACTGTTTAAAATATTTTACAAAGACATTTTATTATATATGAACTATACAACACACAAGAGTATGAAATATTTTGAACATATACACACTTCTGTATTTTTCATGAAGATTATTATTTTGCACCAAACATTGGTGTCAGCAATTTAACAATCCTCTCAGATAAAAGCAAGCCAAAACCTCAGAATGTTTAGTGAATGTGTTTAGGTTTTTTCTTTCCTGAAAATAAAACATATTAGAAGGAGAATTTCTCTAATGACTTTTCTTTCCCCAGTTTCATATTTTGGACAAAGTTTTTCCAATGGATCAACATACACAAAAAAGAATAACCTCCTGCAGTGCAATTTGCCAGAGATAAAGTTTAAACCAAAACTGACTCTTTCCCCACTAGTAACATTGAAAATGTAATCCTTTTCAATATCCATTTTAATGAAAATATTTGCATAGAGCAGCCTTGTATTATTTCTAAAGAACATTATGAGCGTTTTAACACAAGATAAGGCACATGTTTTTCAGCATTAATAATCTAAAACTAATCCTGAGGATCTGCTCCTCCCCCTCAGCAAAATCTGCTTTTTTAATATACCCTGTATTACCTGAAGAAAGCAGAAAAGCAGTATAGAATAAACCCAAACTCTTTAGCTGAACTAAATTCAGAACATCAACAACTCCTGATAATAGTGTAACAAATCCACAGATAAAGAGTTAAGTCACTCTCTAAACAAATTATCGTTAGAGGGAAAGAAAAAAGATACAGCCAGTAGCACTGTAGATGTTAGCTAAAAGTTCACAGACTACAGATGACATTTATAGTGAGTTTTGCTAAAATAAGCTCCCATCAGAAACAAGGTAGCTAAATTGTGAGGCACTTAAGGTTGACATGAAAAGGAGGAATGCAAGGGGTCTGTTTCATAGAAAACCTGAAGTTGCATATCATATCCTTGTATTAAGCCTTCTATTAAAGTGCTAGAAATGGAGACTTAAAACAAAAGGATTTAAATACAAAATAAGTGATTAAAGAGCTTAGTATGCATTAAAATGAAGTGCTTTTGATTCTTATGAATTTAGAGCTTTTTAATAGATTTTAAAAAATAAAGTTTGGAAATAATCCACGTGTGAAATCATCTTCCTTGTGCCATCGATGCTATTTGTAAAGTGCCCAATTATTTTCTAAACAACAAAACCATTTGCCTTATCTTATGTTGTATAGCATGACATACTCTGTAGTACATATGTAATCCATACTGCAATGACACAGTCAATCTGATGGAAAACAGCACATGCATACTTTTAGTCAGAAGTTTAATTCCACCTGTCACACTAAAAACCCAGGTCTTAGATTACATATCCACCAGTATATAGTGCAACCAACCTCATACTCTCCAAATGTAATTTAGCTGTTAAAGTCTGATGCTCAAAGAGAGACTTATCAAGCTTTTCCTCAGAGCAGCCTGACGCCCAGACAAAATCACAGATGGAGCTCTAGATCTGAATCACATAAATCCACTAGATGCCAAATCTGAGAAGGATCTGGGTTCTTTCGGATGATGATGAGGCTGAAGATGTGTGGCAGTCTGTGCATTACTGATCACATCTAACTGAGAGGGATATGATTCATTTACGTTTCCTCCATTGAAACTGTTTGGGAACTGGCAGGAAAAAAAAGAGCATATAAATGGTTAGTGTGGGAAACCAATTTATTTATAAGTATTTAAAAGTCCTCTTAAAGACACATAGTGGATGAAATAATCTTAAAATACATTGATTAGCTGTAAAACTTTTTTTTTTAAATGATGAATGAGAAGTTAATTTGCATTAAAGCAGGGACTGAATCATCATGAAAACTTACCCATGCTGAAGTCAGCGGAAGCCCTACTTCTGGTTAAGTAAAGAAACAGTTCTGTTATCTAAAGCATAATATAGTTTCCATTTCTAGCAAGTACAGTCTGACTGAGTACTCCTAACTGTCACATTCAGCTGTTACATTTTAAAAGCAACCTATTTACACCATGTCTGCAATGGCATCCAGATTTTACAGCTCTTCCAGGAATGCACATGCAGTCCTATTGGTAAGCTGAAGTGCACTGTGTTCAATCCACTGGGTGAACTATTGCAGGGTGGGCTTTTTTGACAAAGGGTCTTCAAATTGACAATGCCAAGTAAGAGCAATGAATGGCTTTCATCAGTTTTAACATAATTGTTCATAGGATTATTTTAATCAACTGATGTAATGCTTCCTGTCATGCTGTGGAAAAGTCACTTTATCTACAAAATACTCCCTTCAGTAAAAGAAAAGACAAATGCAAAGAAAATACAACAAAGTATTTTAAACATTTCCATCATCTCTTCAAGAGTAGCTTATATCTTAAGTACTCATTCATTCAAGATTTGTCCTCGAAAACATGTCTTACAGATTCATTCATTCATTCAAAATATGCTGGGTTTTGGTTCTTTTTTTCCTTCAACATAAGCATTGAAATGTGACTAACTGTGCACAGTTCTGCTAAGTTTTTAACAACAAGACTACGGCCATGTGAATTAAGTTTTTAATCAAAGTTGACATACTTTTAAAGACAGCTACGACAGCATACCTTAGGATTACTTTTGACAGAAGCAGATTTCTTCGATATTCTTCAACAAGATGACCATGCTCATTTAAATTTTTAAGAACATTCTTGACACAGAATCTAGTACTTAAGAAGTACTAGTACTGCTTAATAAAGGAATACTGACCCCAAACAAGCAGCCAAACTAGGCCTTTCTGTCCACATCCATCACTGAAAATGATTTTAGACTACATTGGATATGATCCTACCACAATTACAAGTTAGGCAGAAGGCAGATGACCACAACAGACCCTTCTGCCTTTCTAATCCTCTAGTCTTTTCATGTAGAAATCAATGGGAGTTAGAAGTCTGAGGAAAGGATAGCAATCATGGCTTGTGCAGCAACATCTGTCCTCTCTCTAGACTCTAACCACTGACAGGGATGTCAGTGTGCTAAATCCAGCCACAAAGACTGTCCTACTTTGGTTTGGCTGTGTGAACACAGGCTCAGACAGCAGTATCCTATCTGCTTAGTCGCATGAGGCTTCTGCTTATGCAGTGCTTCGCAGCCCCACAAAGCACAGGAATACCCTAACAAAATGGGCTGAATTTGCCTCTGGACAACTTAAATAAAGATAATTTTTCACAAAGTGGCCTTTGTTCATTTTTTACGACAACAAACTAAATGCAATATTGTTATTGCAGCCCAGTATTCTTGTAAATATGAAGCAATAGACAATATCTTTTTCAGAGGTGCTGTCTTAGTCATTAAACTTTTTACAGGTAGATGTGAAGAAAATGTAAGGAAGAAAATAACAAAAAGGGGTCATGATTAAGGTAGTGTAACAACAAAATAATCTGCAAAATGAATGTAATTGAAACCAAATATTAAAAATAAAGAAATGAGAAATGGAATTGTGAATGCACTGGTTGTTCAAAACTGATGCATCACACCGGTATAGCTTTTGTGAAAAGAGCAATTCTTTGTTGTTATACAGGCAAACTTGGATGACCCTGGAACTGCTCTGCAATCCTATTATCAAGCACTACGAAAGACTAATAACACTGATGCAGCCAGGCAACATACAGCCAAGCAGTGCTCAAGTTCACACACTGCAGTTCATCAAAGTCACTTCACGCTATTTCAGCCCTTGGGCACTCAGGGAGAAGCTATTCATCTTGCTGAACTATTCTATATTTTAGGTAAATTTCTGCAATTCTGCAATTATATTTTTTTCCAGTAGCGAGGCAGTTTTCAAAGGGTATGTTTTGTACTTGTATTAAGCATATCAAAAACCTGGATATGTCCTAATTGCATTCCTCACCTTTGCCTTGCACAGGTTAAATGCCAATTAATACTTTAATTCTGTAAATGCTTATGCATGTGCATAAGCATTTGCAGGATCAGTACTTCAGAACATTAACTCATTGAGGAAGGAAAAACAAAGAATTGTCGCTCTGTACTTGAGCAGCATTAACAGAAATAAATGGTACAATTGAAAGTACTTCAACAAAGGTTATTCAGTATCAGGAATTTGTAATTATTTTTTTATTTTCAAGTTAATTTTACCTATGAAGTACTGTATTTAAAACTGTAGTGTGTGCTACTACCAGGGCGCTCTCTTCTAAAGCTTTTATTGTGCATTCTCCTTTGTGAAAAAGGTCTAACTTATTGCAAATATAACTTTTTCCTACTCTCTTGTCTTCAGCAGATAATTTAGACAGCAGCTTGAGGAACTAGCTGACTTTCACTGAGAGCAATATATAATTTTTTTTTGCAGTAATATAGTGTGTAGGAGTACAATAGTTCATATTTCATGCCATTCATACATTATAATCTAATACTTTCAGTAATCCTAAAATCATTGAGGAACCTGAGTAGCTAGAGAATACTAACACTTTAAAAACAAGATTTTTTTTCATACTTACAACATATTTAATGAAAATCAGTGTGCCAAGCAATATTACTGACATCACTCCACTCCTCTAAAAAAGGTGTATAAACAAATTCCAAGCTTTTGATCAATCTAGTTTTGTTTTGCTCCTACCAGGAAAATTACTGGTAGGTACAACAGACCAGTTCACTCACTCTTGATTAATATGGCCAACGAGAGCTATCAGGCTGCAGATACACATAAACTCGACCAAATGCAACTCTCCAATATAATGAACAAATAAAGCAAAGACATTCACACACTGCTAACCCATCTGTCTCAAACTCAGCAATTCATTCATGACAAACTCTGCACCCTATTAGCCACCCAAAACAATATAAACTCGATTCAAAATGCAAGCAGTGCAGCAAGGCTGTTTACCATACCTTGTTCACCAATGTTTGTTGTTGTTGATTTGTCATCATAGGATCATATTGCATTTGATCCACGCAGCTGGGCTGTGCCTCCTGCGTGCACTGGTACATAGAAACAGCGCCTGCATAGCATGTTTGAGGAGTTAGCATAACTGACTCAGAGTTTATCCCACACTCAAGATTTTCAGGGACTTGCTGCAAACAACTGAGAAAATCCTCAAAGTTGGAAGAAGCGGAATAGGTCGATCTGTCAAAAGCTGATGCAGGGAAATCCATTTGAGCAAAATTAGAAAGCTGTGGCACCATTGCTGTGGGTTGCTTGTAAGGAATAAAGTCTTGCCTACACTCATAAGGAGAAGTGTTCACTTCTGATTTGTAAGAGAACTCAGATGTAGTGGCATGCATGCTAGGGAACATGTATTGCTGGGGCTGCTGCTGCTGAGAGCAGCCAAGAGGCATGCTGATGCCAGAGCTCCAATTTGTGAACATCCCATTGACTTGCATATGTTTCATCTTTTGACAGAGCTGCTGCTGCTGTTGCCGTTGTTGCTGCTGCTCCATGAGCTGTTTCTGCTGCTGATGAAGTTGATGTGGATCTATGTCTTGCTGTACCAAGCAGCCTTCATTCTGGACCAATGGCTGCTGCTGGTTACACTCTGAATATAAAAAGTCAGATTTATTTAAGGAATCCTGAACATAAGTCAGGATTTCATCAGTTATGTTGATGTCCCCAATGTCATCCACATCAGATAATTCAGTTTTAAAGAACTCCTCATCCTGCTGAATACACTTTAGATCTTCAAAGTCAATACCCAGATTTTTCATGATGCTGTACAAATCACTGGTTTTGTTATCCTGAAAGAGTGCTGCACTGTCTTCAGGAAGTTCAACAGTACTGTCCTGGGAACACTCCATCAGCTCCCGTTTGAGAATGTTGTGACTTCCAGCAGGTAGGAGATTATCTGTCCAACCACTGCTAACCACACCGCCCAGTTCATCCCTACTGTCTGCAAAGAAGTTCCGCTCAAAGGAAAGTTTATGTGCTGCTGGAGGGCACAGATAAACAGACTCATCTTGCCTTAACATGACACCTAGGAGGGAGTTTGGATCAACGGAATCATTGTGTAGCGTTGCTTTGGCTCCTTTTCCCGCTGTGCTTTTACTCTTCGTCTGAGAGGGATCCATAAGGCTTGACATAGGGAAAGATACCTCATATAACACAGCCTCACCAGTGGCAAACATGAAGGGCAACTTCATGTTACGCTTCCGTAGATGTTCTGCCCCTTCTTCATCTCTGAAAATAAATCAGATATGTGCTATAATACTGCACTACTAAACAGTTACCGTAATCTTTTTGTCCTCTGGAATTAATATAAAAAAACCTGAACTATTCTATTTGTAGGCATTTTTCAAATTCCTGCCTATTCCAGCTCAACTTGCCTGAGTTAAACCAACAGGCAGATTATGAAATAAGGAGCTTATAACTGTAATACCACATTTACATATTACATTTCTAATTAAATCTAGATAGCACACACCATTTTCTGTGCATTATGGGCTGAAATAAAAATAAATGGGCTTTGTTCCATGCATTATGCTTTTCCTGGTGTAGCAAGTAAATGAATACTTGAAGTATCTCTTTTTCTCCATTTTTACAGACTCCTTAGCAAAATTATTTAACCTGTATGAAAATGCTGAATTCTATATTAATTAGAAGTCAGTTCAACACCATAAAAGACTGAATTTCTTTACATTATTTGTTGGTGAAATCCAACTGCAGTTGGATTTCTCAATTTTTGCTAATGAAGATACCGAATTAAAAATAGGGTGGATGGAATAACTTTGTTCTTGTACCACTGCCCTTACCCTCTACATGAAATCAATGTCTAAAGTTTTACTCAAAAACGACTATGCCACATAAGTATTGAAATATCAGAATTTTTTAAAGTGTTTGTTAGCAAATTTGAAGGTTTTCTTTTTGGAATTCAGAATCTAAAGGGTGTTTATTAAAAACAAAGAAATCCTTTCTGAATATAAACAGTTTCAAAAGGTCTCAGTTTTTGAAGTATACTACTTCATGCAGAAATGACTTACGTAAGAGGTCTTTGCGTGGCAATGATGTAATCTGGTCTTCCATTTTTGTAGACAAGACGAGCATTTGCCTGTACCCAGGCCCATCGATTTTCTTTGGTTAGAAGCCTAAATACAGTCATTCCACTCTCACCTGTCTTCATCACTAGAGTTAAAGAGTAAGCATACTGTTTACTGTCCAGCAAACAAAACCACAAAAATCTCTATGACAGTCATGAAAGCAATCCCATCTATGTAGCAATTTTACAAATCTCATGTCCTCAATCACACAATTCTGTGTGGCACTAATGCATTTCCAGTGAAACAGGATGATTGATCACTTTAAAAGGTCTAATTTACTGGTAAAATAAAAGTCAAAAGTGCAAGCAATTGTAGGATATCCACTACAGACTGGTAGCATTCTGTATTGAGCTTCATCCTTTATTTCTTCAATAACAGAAATTAATAAATATTAGAACTTGTAAGTGACAAAAGCCTAAGACTCTCCTGTTTCCAAAAAGTGACTATTACTTAAGCAGTTAGAAAACACATTCGTTCTGAATCCAGTACTTTCACATTTTGACTGGTTAATGCAGAGGTACTTCAAAATCTATTTTTCACTCACACTACCACCTCACTAACAATGCTTGATAAACATATTACATTTTCATTGTATATTGTTGAAAAAAAAGTATTTCTAGATAGAAAAATTAAATAAAAAGTATTAGAAGCTTAAGAATCCTAACCAAAAATAATCTTGGATACAAGACCTCTTTTTTTAATCTTAGCATCCTAAGTGGAGCAAAACCAGTTTTAAGACAAAATTTCAAACCATTCATTCTGAAGTTTCATCCCATTCCATTCTGGAACCATTTCTTCCTTATTCTTTATGAAAGAAACAAAACCACTGACAGGCAACAGTGACTGAGCTATATCCAAAACAGAAAATGTGCTTAATAAAGGCTGAGAACTAACATACTGAGGGAGCTATTTAACTTTATATAAGGGGACAAAAGAAAAAAACACTTTCAAGAGAAGTCAGTAGAAAAGAAGAAGTACAAAAATGTCCTGAAGATGACTGTAAATTCTAAAGACAAATATGTTGCAACTAACAAAAAAGTAAAACCAAAGTCCACTAAATAGTTATAGATTAGATAGTTGATACCTATTTCCTTAGCTTAAAACATCATATTTCTCTCCATAAAACGTTAGTTAAAGCAAATTAAGCTGTCAAGAATCAAAACCAGAAATGGGTAGGATACTAGCATGTTAAATCACAGATTAATTTCTGGTAAAAATCTTATACCAGTATCAAAAGAAAATGTTTCATTTAACTTGCTAACAGGAAAGCTATCTTTGAAATAGTCTCCTTGCCCAAAGGAAGTTGTTGAAATAGCAGAAGTTGGGTAGAGCAGAGAAGGAAGTGAGAAGAGCAAGATGTGACAGAGACTGGAATATATATCCTACAAGGGTCTAGATAGGAATAGTAAATATTTCTTCAACCACTATAAGTTTTTATAGGGAGGGAAAGATTACATGAAATAAACAGTGTTCTTTTTGTTAACTTTTACTTTAAACAGTACTTCATATTACATTCATACTGAGAAAATACTCCATACTTTGATTTTTCAGCCTTTCTTGGGGAACAAAACTTACTTCGAATATGATTTTCAGCACAATAAAGCATATCAGCTGCATGAATAAACTGGTATCCTGTTCCTCTCATACACAGCTCTGCTTCAGTGTATCCCAGGACAATCTTTCCTCTGGAAGTTAAAAACAAAAAATTGCAATGCTGCTGATGAACCAAGTCACAGAATAAATGCCAAGCAAGTTAATTATGGCTAGAACATTTCAGACACAAGTGCTAACTATCCTTTGTTGCAATATCAATTGTATGCGGAAACAGGGCAGCTGTAATAAAAAATACAGTTAACAAATCATAAAATCTTAACTAGTCTACCAGCTTGCCTTCAATGACTAGAAATGGTTTCAAAAGCTGTTAGATCACAAAAAAAAAAATGTGGATGCCTACATCTGGACTCTCAATTCCATACTTTTGAACATATTCACTTCTAGCAGGCAGCTCCCATTTGTTACAATGAAAGACACTGTTTTCTTAGCCCTATTTCATAGCATTTACCTGTAGGTGCTTGCATGTAGAATTAAGTAGGGGTTTAACTTTAGCTATCTAAATCTTCTTGTCTAACTCAGTATTTTTAGTAGCTTAAAGTTTAAAACAGGGTCTATCTCATAACTATATCCCCTTTGCTATTTACTGATTTAGGACCCTTGCATTTGCATTTAAACAAGATACACATCAGAGGAGTACTGTCAAGAGCCATGTTTGACCCTGGTAGCTAAAATTAGAGTACTTTACTAGAGGGCAGGGAGATGAAAAACTTAACAGCATTCATGTGATCTCTATGAGATACATGATAAAATAGTCAAAAAGAGACTTAAACAGGACTTGGAACAAGGAAATGGAGAGTCAAAGACAGGATGGCAAAAAAAGGAAAAAGTAGGAATGGGGAACAATATATGTAAAAGTAAAAACTGTTACAAAAATTGAAGGTTTCAAGTTAATGAAAAACAATCAGAAGAAAGAGATGCCTGTGTTAACATTTTGCTAACTTTTACTTGTATCAGTTTACAGAAGCCAAGTAAAACATTTTGGTCTCACAGTAGACAGAATACTGAGTAATTTGATTCTATTCTACAAGTAGGCATAGAAATCCGTATGAGATTCCACTGAAAATTAATCTCAAAGCATTATCAGTCAAAAACAGGAGGGAAAGGAGAATGAAGGAAGGAAGGAGGCCAGAGGCTTTTATTTTGATAAAGAAGCATCTTAATGGGCTTCTTGCCATGTTGATGCAAAGTTACATTATTTTGATCTAGTAATGCACTAGTGTTTCCAAATCTCACATAGGGAAAAGAATGGTTTGGAAATGGGTAAAAGTAGTAATATAAAAAAGGACTTAATTTGTTTATTTTGAAGAAAATGACATTTCCATTGTATTTTACATCTATTTGAACTGAATGAGAAAATATGCATGTAGAATAAAATGAAACACTTTTTCTATCTGTTCTAAAACCAAATTTCAAACCAGATTTAAATATGAAACTTTTCTTAACTCAGTAGTATTCTACCTTTTGGGCTTTTTAGTTTGGGTTCGGTTTGTGCCTTCTTTGCTTTTTGTTTTGTCTTGGTGGGTTTGGGTTTTTTGGGTTGGTTTTTTTTTGAGGGAGTCAGTGGTGCTGTTCTGTTTTTTAAACAACTGAAAGTCAGAAAGCAGTAGGCCATTTCAAGGAAGTAGACTATGACAATCCCATTTCTGTTTACTTACTAAGAGGGCTGAAGAGAAAAACCATAACAGTTTCTAAGCAATCATCACTGAATCAGCATATATACTGAAAGAGTAGCCTGCTTTATATTTCAAATACATACATGAAACCTATCTCATCAGCAAATTATTAGACTATTATGCAGAATAATTTACACCTACTTTGCATCACAGCCAGTAGGTGTGAAATCCAGTTTGTGTTTAGTTCTGAAGATGAAGTTTTTGGTTCGTATCTCAAGGATGGATGGTGGCTGAAGGGGAGTAGCTACTGCAAACAGAGCAAGCTGAGGAGACAAAGTAGCACCATCCTTCCCTTTCTTGTTTTGTCCATGGAGAAACTTTAACCGTCCTTGAAAGTTCATAGCCTTAGGATGAAGAAAAAAGTAATTGTTATATGTTGGAGATATTTAGGAGTAAGATATTTCTGTTATGAAATAAAACATATATTTTTATTTTTTCTAAGTTCATCAGATTCAAACTTTGTAGCATGGCACACATAAAAGTTACCTAGCAAGTATAGAATACTGTTGTTACACTCCTGAGTGTGACACTTCAAGATCTACTAATCAACGCAAAAAGGAATTAATGAAAGGTTGTTCTGTTAAAAAAATCTCCAAACATGTAACAGCAAGTGTCAACTGGGGCTTCTAATATTCTAAAAAACATGGCATTATACATCCATATAATTATAACAACATTTATCTTGCAGATGTATATATTTCATTTTGCAATGGCAAACAATTCTATTTGTAGAAAGTCACTAAGAGGATGATAACATATTTGTTCCAAAATCTACACAATTGACTAACAAAAAGAATTAAAAAGAGCAAGCACAGACTTTCCATAATAAGGGAAAACTATGGTCCTCTTAGTTACTATAACTTAGTGCATCTCAAGATACACAACAGAAAATAATCTTGTAATGCTTTTTTATCTGCAAATCACACAGTACTTTACAAAAGCAGATGCTTATTTGCATTTCACTGAGGAAACTGAGCCATGAGAAATGAGAGAACCTGCACCTGGTCATGACAACATGTTGAAGGAGACATATTCAGTGTCACTAGCTGAAACATTCTGGTTCAAGTAGTTCAGATATCTTTGGAGACTTCGAAAATAAGTTTCTGTACATCTTGTTAGGATAATGCAGATGCTCAACTTTTAAGCGTATGTGGAAGTTTTTACGTAACTCTATACTCACCAGGAATCCAGATGAATTATCCAGGAGGCATCGTAACCTGCAGATGAAATTCCTTTCCATAAAGGAAGAATTCTCTGGAGGAAGTTGGTCTGGGTTATAATAGGTTGCTGGCTGTGAAAAGCCATTATCTCCTGCAGGAAAGGATTATTTATAAGGATTATTTTTAGAAGAACACCTAGTGAAGGCTATCTATAACAAACAATCTTCCGTCTCATAAACAAAGCATCAGGTCATGACCAGAGCAAGAACAATGTAAACTGGAAACATCCTCAGAACCTATAATGATTGCAGCACTGGTTAGTTATCAGTACTTCTGATGGGATTATGTTTTACAGGCTATGGTATTTGAAAACTGCATACAATTTATTTTTAAGTATTTTTTCTTTGGGGTTTTTGTTGTTTGTGTTTTTAATTTATTCATTATGTTTGTCAACAACCTGGATTCTGAATCAGTTGCAGAGAGCAGAGTTCTCAGCAGAGAGCACATCCATGTATCCTATAACAGTAGAGTCTGCAAAAAGGGTTCCTGTAGTAGCAACTACAGGAACTAGGTATTCAAAAATGCAGGAGATCAAATGGTTACTTTTCAGACAGCCAGGTGAAAGCTGTAGCAATAAATAAAAATAAGCATCTTTAGGAAACCACCACAATAAATAAACGTGGGTACTTTCTCTAATGGATGCAAAAGCACTCTGCTAAACAGTGAAAATATTTCTGGGCTCTGCTGATCAAAACACCCTAGTTACCTCTCCGGAGGTACTTGGAGTACTTGTGTTTTGTGGATTGTTTTAAAAAATACTAAAAATCACGACTGTCAGCTAGGATAACAACACAGTTAACCCCTTCAGGAAAAGCATTTGCTGCTAAGTGGCATTTAGAAAACAGACTTAAACATTTGGAATATAAAGTAAAAACAGAAGGTAAATCAAAAACTTCCGATAGAATACATATGGTCTGCATGAGACTACATACGCAGAAATACCAGAGCATGTCTACTCACAGCAAATATAAAACCCCACAAACTGGTAATTCCCTAGGAATTTATATATGTAGAATATTAAGTAAAAACCGTTTAAAATGCTACTGTAGAGTGTTAAATACTCTGTTATTTTAAAAAATAGTCCATGTACTCTGAGAGAACTGATTGTCATGTATGGACAAAAGAATAGTACAGATTTTAAGAACCCATATTGACCTTCCAGAGTTGGAGATGAGGTGGAGAGAGCATATCACTTCATAACGCACCACATTATGTTTTCTGGAACATAATTTTGTCTCTTGGACAGCTGGAAAAACTTACAGATAGGTTCAGTGGTTTGCATAATGGCAAACCAAACCCAAAGGAAAACAAATCCTTACCAAAAGCCAGTTCAATTTATTCTCCTATTAATTCAAGGGTCAGAACTGGAGCCAAATGAGATTGCTGATGGCTCACCACGAGGTCTTGCAACCTAAGGCCATCTAAATCCTACAAAAAATGTTGAGTTATCCAGCTTTTCAGATAAAATCATGAGATACCTTTTTTTTCTTAAAAGAACTGCTATGCAAGGTCATTTTTTTCTGAACAAACTTCAACATATTGAGAAAAAGAAAAAGGGCTCTAGGTTATAGTGTGTACAAAAAGGGATAATCTGAAATTACAGCCATCTGCAAAACTGTGCATTGGCCAAAGCCACCATTATGAGCTAATCCCACAGGACCAGAAACTCAGATCCTTGTAGTCCAAGATAATTACCAGCTAACTTTGATACTATAAAATAACAAATTTCCACACTCATCATATGAATGGTTCTCAACAGACAAAGCAAACTTACTTCCTTACATTCTGTTGTTGCAGATTTTTTTCTTTTTTTATTAATTCCCTAAATGCTGGTGAGAATTTTCAACACTTCTGAGACAGGTTGGATGCTCCCTGAAGAAGCAATGATTATGAAGAAAGAGCAAAGAAACAGCTTGCAAATCCTAACTTATAATTCAAAAATATCAACTCTGACTGAGTGCAGCTCTAGCACTCAACAAGAAGTGCAAGTCCTTCTGCTGGCATCGTTGGCCCTGGTATGCTGGTATGCTCTTCAGCATTTCTGCCACAGGAGAAACTCAGTGTTATTCTTCTGGTAAATACAGAGCTGAAATCTATAGGCTCAGCAGGTTCAGCTGGGTTCTCTGAAGTGTTTGTCAGCTTTCATAGTAAAATGGGCAGTTCCCAAGAGTGAGCAAAGCTTTGGTGGAAGAAGCAGCTCTTGAGACGAGAGGAACTGAAACATGAGGGAATGGGCTTCAAGCCCAAGCCTCCTACCTCTGAGAAAGGAATAATGCTGTGCTTTCTCAGGCAGGTAGGAGGCAGAGATGCTTTACTGCCAGGACCTTGGTGAAGTGACTCACTGTAAAAGGGCAAAGAATCTTACAGAGCATCTGCAATCCCTGGAGCAAAACCACCAGTTAACACTGCAGGGGTTAGAACCCATATCTCTCATGAAGCTCACGCTGGATCTCATCAATACCATGGAGCGATGCCCAGAGCATGCAGTGCATTAAGTCTTTGTCTTTAAGCTCAAGACCATACATGGTTGTGTAGCATGTGAACTTTAAAAGATAATCCAGACTTAAGGCCCCAAAGTAGATATTGGGGACTGAAAAATCAGGATTTTGCAAACTTCTCTGGGAATAAGACAGGACTGGGAGGATTGTCTGGGAAGTACAGTAACAGCTGAGGAAACCAGTGGTTTAGAGGCATACGAGAGTACTGAGTGAGAAATAACCAGTCCAGGCTAACTGAAGCAGTATTAGTTCCCAGACTCAGACTGGAATCTGTGCTGAAGCCTGAGAACAATTATAGTATATCTATAAATATCTACATAATGCTAGATGAATGTATTAAAAAGGAAATTAATTAACTTAGCAAAAATGGAGAGCACTCTCATGATCATAGCATTATCCTTTGTTGTAAATCTGAATTCAGTTTAAAAATCCTCAACATCCAAACCTTTTATGCTACCCAAGGCTCAAAAGTCATCATAGAATCACAGAATGGTTTGGGTTGGAAAGGACTTCAGAGATCACCTAATCAAAGCCCCTGCCATGGGCAGGGACACGTTCCACTAGACCAGATTGCTCAAAGCCCCATCCAACCTGGCCTTCTGAACACTTTCAGAAATGGGGCATAACTAGAAGCTTTTAGTAAACTAGAAACACAAGATATGAAACAAACAATTGCAATCCTGCTCAGCACTTTCAGTGATTCAGTCAAATCTGTTGTCAATTCAACCTGGTGTTGTACTTTTTAAACATAACCTTTCATAAATTCATATGCACTTGCTTAAGCGCTATAGAACACCATTTCACTCTAAAGCAAACAATAAGTCACCACACAAAAATCTGGTTTCTGAGTGCCAGCAGCTGTTTGCTATACTAAATTGTACTATTAACTACTTGTGCAGCATATGCAGCAGGACTGTTTAGATTGATTCATAGATGATATAGCAATGTTGACCACTAAATGAAAAAATGAAATATACTGAGCTGTGTTTCAAACATCACAACATTTGTTGTTTTTAATTTCTCTATCAAATCATGGCCTTTCCATACTCTAAAATATTAAATATGAAACTGCTAAGAGTTTAAAATCAAGTTACTTTATGAATGGTAGATTTATTAAAAGCACTATGGACTTCTTACAGATTAAAAAAAAATACCTATAATCAAGTCACAGTAACAGAGAATTTTACCTACATATTTCATTAGCAGTTGTGTAAAATGGAGAATTAAAATAGAGCAGTTATTGTAATTATAAGGCAGGCACATGCTTCCTGTATTACATGTAACTATCTGTACCTACACATCTTTGTTCTGATATATAGGCAATGCCTTTCCCCTTAGTTTTTTTCTCAATATAGCAGGTCACTTAAGCATCAGCCAATAACGTGACAACCCAATGCTCTTACAAGCATACTATTTGATCTTAATGGCTCATCTATTTCACCTTTTATTCCTCTACCCCTTTTATGGCCAAGAGAAGTGCTGGTCTACATGGCAAGGAATGCACTGTTCCCTATATTAACACCATCACTAACACATTCTTAGACTGATCAGACATGTAAGACATTGTCATTTATGCTCCAAATTAAAATCTTCCAATTTAAAGTGTAATTAATATTTTTATGATGTTGTGCTGTGAATAGCAGTGCTTATTTAAAGTGCAAAATACAGTAATTCTTACTGTTGCCTAAATAAAATTCTACTAAGTTTAAAAGATGTTATTCCTTCCTTTCTCCACATAAAGTTATCTAAACTTTTTTACATACACAAATTTGAAAAACCCAGCTAATCAGACAGATAAACACAGAAATTGGCTGCATTCTTACCTTGTACATTTGGTCCAGAATCTGCTGACTGGGTAGGATTTAATGCCCAGTGTAGCTGTCGCTGAAACTCAGGTCTGTCTTCTGTGTGAATCAATTCAAATACACTCTGGTGTATAATATCCGACTATGTACAAATGAAAAAAGGTGGGAAAGAACAAGAATAAGAAAATTATATGACAATATGATATAAGTTGTCTGGTTGACAACACTGCTATGGATATGGGAAAATCCAGTTTCCTCAGGGATAAAGACATACAACCACATGCACGTGGCAAAGCTTCACAAAACAGTTTTTAGCAGCACAGAGAATTCAGCTACACCCATGACTGCAAACATGGGAAACAATAATAAAATATATTTTCTAAGGAAGAAAAAATAACACTATGTCAACTATCTCTTTACCTGCTTTTATCTAAGAAAGGTTGGAACTTTTATGCTTAGGTTCTGTTTAAGTAATTTAACTTTAGATACTGGTAAATAAAGTACTTGCCAGCTAGGACTTGACTTGACCCATTATACGTGCTACAGTATAATACAAAAGAAGCCAAAGACCCTGAACCAAACAACTTCCAAAACTAAGCCAAGTAGATTATGAACAGTGCATTTGTTTGCCTGAAAGCTTTGTCACTCCTTAAGGATGTGTAAAACATGTAATTATTAAGCTCTTATATCACCAGCAATTGTGTTGTTTGGAATGTAATCTAAATGGCAAAGGTACAACACTGAGGATCAGTCATTGAAGGAAATTAAGGGGGGAAAAAAGGACCCAAAATATTCAAGATAAGACTCAGTCGACTGAGAGGATTTAAGTTCCCTGTTTTCAGCATGTTTCAAAGACCCAACCATTATATAAACAGAACATATTTAAAATGAAACATAGATCTAAAGTAATTGAGGTGAATTGGCAAAAGCAGAAGTTTAACTCAAATTTGGCTTTGACGAATTTAATAAAAAAATCAGTATTTTCCAGAACAAATTGCCAGAAATGCTAGTTTTTGTAAATTTAAGACTTCGCTTCTATATCATGCACTTGATTTACTAGTATTACTATACAAATTTTATGCCCAATTTGTTTCCCAAGCTTTTCTCTTTTTTCATTCCCCAACACTGAAAGAATATGTAGCCCCAGGAATAATGATGTTTTGTTTGAAATACTTTCTTTTACACAAACATTCCTCAGTTCAACAGTTAACTAAAATTGCAGACCAACCAGAATTTCTCCCTATTTTTAGACAGCAACTGAATCTATCAACATTCAGCATCCACAGATATACACTGATAACTATAACTAAGCTTCTATCATCTCCACATAAAGTAACCCCAGGAGTTCTGTAACGAAGGCAACATTTGCCTACTATGCTTTGGTCTTTACTAGTTTGGTACCTGGCTTGAAAGCCCACTAAAGTCAGCCATATGTGGTCTGCACCATAAATAGTAAAGAAAAAAAAAAGCTTGTTTTGAAAGAAATAATTAAATAAATAAACATGACCAAGAGAACACTAAAATTCTAAAAATACTAAAATCACTCACTTCATACTTAAAATCTCAAGCCATATGGTAATAATTTTGCATGAAAGGTTTCTATTAAAATAATTACCTTCCCATTGAATTATGTCTCACTCAGCATCATAAACTGGGTAACACCACAGTATAAATTTCAAACAGTTGTTACAGTGAAGACTAATTAAGTGTGAAAACTTCCTATCTTGCCTAACTCAACTTTGGAAATTATATTCCTGTTGTGCTTGGCCTGACGTCCTGGCTATGTAAACTGATAGAAAAGTAATATGGTTTCAAAGTGATCCAACCCAAAGTACCTAACTGAGATTTTTATTACACAAACTATCAGACCCTAAATACAAACACTGATGTTCTCTGAAAGTAAGCAAAACCTCTGCAAAAAAAGAGGAAAAAATAAACTTACTTGCTGGAAGCCCAAGTAGTCTTGGATGGTAGAAGAGACGTAAAAAACCAGAGCATCTGCTGTAACAACTAAGACAAACCCATTTAATGCCTGGGGAGGAAACACACCAATCTGTCACCTTCACAGACAAAATTCCAGACAATTATTGTGGCTGTAAGTCTGCCTATACTCTACTCTCCCAATAAAATGTGAGGCATGCAAAACCATATCATTATCTAACAGCATAAACAGAAGGATTCTTCATTGCTTCTCTCTACCTGTTACAATGAAGAAAACTAGCTCTAATGGAAAAAAAAATAAAACTGATCTTTTGGAAAATTCAGGGGAGAAGCCAAACCCTGTTGATGACTTTTAAATACTTTTAACTGTGGATGAGGGACAACAGTATGAACAACTATAAGTTTTTGTAATATCAACCACAGTTCACAATGCTTGTGTGGTTCAGCCCTTTGGTACCCCCAGCTGCCCACCAGCACAAACAAGAGCCATGCCACAACCCCAGTCCCAAAATCCACTCTATTTATAGTGCAGGCAGGCCTCTGTGAACAGGAAATCAAGCTATCAAGATCACCCATATAGTCCAAGAAAACATTTTATAGCTTACTTAAAATAGAAAACCTCTGCACAAGTGGACTGTTGCAAGTAAACAATGTTTTTGAAGAGATTTCCCCCTCCATGAAGCAGCAGACTAGGCGGCTCCACACTCGAAGTCACGCAAAGGGCATTTATCTGAACTCCCAATCAATACGGTTCATGGCAATTGTTGTGATAGCAAACAGTAAATTTGTGACTTGGCAGCTCATCTGAAAGGTGCCGATTTACTTCTATGGATTTCAGTCAAGATTTAACAAAAGGCTGTCTCAAGGGGTTGGATTAAGTACATTGTGCCACTTAATTTCCTCAACTGCATTCAAAGGGAAATTTGGCCAGCATACTCAAAACATTTTTTAAAAACTTTATTATGCAAAATAATTGTAACACAGAAAATGTTAAAGAAGTGAAGGATATGCTATATCTTACTGTAACAATTTAATAATATAGAAGTTAAATATCTGATTAAATGACTGGCCTTTAAATGGTGTGAACCACTCCTATTTAATGTGTAGACATTAAATACTCTCATAGAGTTGTGAGCTCTGTAAAAACTCCTTATACAAGTTTAGTGAATTTTACATTAATAAAGAATGAGTTAAAAAAGCCTTAATAATCATTTGAAATTAAATAGCATAGCCAATCCAAGAAATCTTTATTTGTTACACAGAATCCTTGGGTTTCCTGAAGTTTGCAGTAATTTCAAGAGAGTAGAACGCTGCAATGGCAGGTGCTTGTGTCCTCTGCTGACCTACTCTGCAGGGCATTTCGCCTCAAGGGCTGGATATAAAAAGTCTGCAAGCTGCCCAGTATCTAACTCTGTCTCAAACGTTAAAATTGCTTATTCTGGTCTGTGCCATATAAAGCTACGTATACCTCCTGTACCTGGATTGCAACCACATTTTACTGTGGCTCTGGTACACAGCTCACCTTGAACGAGGATTGCTACTAAAAAAATCATATGCATTCTGTAAGCCAAAAATACTGTAAAATGCATGTATCCAGATATATCAATAAATGGGAGGTAAGTTCTGATGGAGGCTTTTGCAAAATGCAATCAAAAAATAATTATTTTAAAAGAAATAGTGAAATGCCTCAGGAAGCACTCTGGAGCACTGAAGATAAAACTTGTGCCTCTAAAAATGCTCTCAATACTCCTAATACAAAGGCAATTACGAAACTGTTCATTACTGGTAAGAAGTTCTAAAAATTTCTTAGAGGTCATCATTTGCCTTGCACTTTTTATCATAAACTTGCTTAGACCTTAATAGATCATGTACTTAAAATAAGAATTGGAAATAATTTTAAAAATTATGAAGGACATCATTTTGATTTTAATGAAGGCGCATTTGTGTATTTGATCTCTACTTCCACAGTATATTGAATTGGTAAGGCAGTTGCTATGTTGGCAATTTAAGACAATTTCCTGTTTGTTAGGAAACAAGAGAAAACATCTGATGAACAAATAGAAAAAAATACAAACAATATGATGTGTATTCATACCACCTTTGCAAAAAAACCCAAAAAAATTCATCAATTATACTTTAAGGGAAGGATTTTATCAATATTTACATCTTACTGATTTCCAGTATCGTCTAGAAAATTCCCACTTTCATCTCTCATGAGTTTTTACATTATCTAAGATAACTCTGGGTTTTTTCACATATATAAAATATTTACAAAACAAACTCCCTTAGAAAATTCAGTTAATTTACTTACTTCACAAGATGGGCAGAATTTACAGTAAAATAAGTATATTATCCATTTAATTTTCATACTGAAAAACAGTTCCCTCATATCACTTCCACTTGGAAGTCATAGAACCCCCCCTATATTTCACATAAAATAGATGCCTCCAATATAAACCTTATACTTTACCTTTTTAGATAATTCTTGTTTAAAAAGAAAGCTCTTCACCTGCAGTAATTCCATAACTGTTCTTCATTATACTTTATTAAGGTTAGAAAATTACATACATGTCCTAGTTTTTTAGTTGGTTAGAAAACAATTTTCAACTACTATTAATTTAAAGTAATTGTTTTGTGGGATTCTTAGAACTTGTTTTCTACTCTTTGAACACTGAAATTAATTTTGCTCTAAGCAAACAATTGGCTCTGACAATGATTTGCCATTTCTAATAGACACATCAGTGGGAAACCTGGGAAGAAGACAGATTATCAGCATTTTTCAAATGAAGCTGCAGGTCACAGTAAAATCTATTTTGTGAAACTAATTAGAACATTGGAATACTTTTATTAGTAATTTCCCAAGTTTAATTTCGATCTAGTATTATATCATTATTCATATGTTTTGACACTCTAGGACATCAAAACAGGCTAAAGAATTTAAGAAAAAAAAGAAAATCACCAATACTCTTTATTATTAATACTTTCTATTAGTTCATAATATTGAAAGTTATTGAAAGTTGAGGTGTTTTCTAAATTTTGTCCTGAACCTACACTATGGACCACTGAATTCTTTCAAACTACCAAGAAAGCTAGATATTTCAGCAACCCTGAGGTCTTTTAAAGAGAAATTGTTTCTTTTAGATAATTAGTCACCAAATTTACAGTCAATTACTAACTTATCTGACCTTTACGAAGACCATTACTTTATATTAATATTTTTATTAACAATAGATGTAAAGAGCTGGGAAAGAAACCTCCAATAAATTACTTGGAAACATTGAAGTGGAGCCCATATTCTAACACCACCCTACATCACTACCAGAAAAAGTGCAAGAGCTGTATAATATTACCTTAAAGAAAACGAGAAAAGGATTTTACAATAAGAAAACTTACTTTTCAAATCTCATCAGTGAATATAGTATGCTACACACAATAGTTTTTTTAATGTAAATCTTTGCACAATATATCCGTTGCAAAAAATACCTGCAGTAGGAGTTCTCCTTCCAGGATCTGCATCCCTTCTCCACACTTTGCTGTTCTACAGTTTTCCTGAATGCCATTTCTTTCTGGTCTTGTAGAGTTAGAAGATTTTAATGCAACTAGAACAAAGAAAGAAAAACGTTGAGCCATCTTTGACAGGCTCATTAGAAATTTACGTAATGATGTGCTATTTTGTGTAAGAAAAAATGTATTTAAAAGACGCCTACAAAGTCAATCTAATGAAAACTTCTGTTTCCATGTCAAACTTTTTCCTTACCTTTAGAGCTAACCTCCAAATTTGTCATCCTTCTCCATTCTATACTATAATACTTTCACTACAGAAGCAGCATTATTGAAATCAATCCAAATCTCATTACTTTATACTTCTTTTTTTCCTTCTTGTCTTTACTGTAAGACTCACTTCTAGTCTGTCACTCTTGTGACAAACAAATGACACTTGTTTTCATACACCAACCTCCTATAACCTGACAACAGCTCCGTATTAAGGTATGAAAACAGTTGCACTTCTCTAATTTCAGACATCAAACTATGGTTCATCAGATACAGAAACCTGCTCTAGACATAAAGCTCCCTTCAGGGAAAGGAAGGAAAGAAACATGAACCCTAAATGCGCATTACACACTAAAGAACACAGAGAAAGGTATTTCAAACAAAAAGATTTGGGTTGGGGTTTCTTTTTTCTGTCATAGTTAAATTTTAACCATTTAAACAACTAAGCAAACTTTCCAATTTCAGATAAAATATTGTAACCATGAATCATCATTATTCACGTCACAAATACATCCAACTAAAAGAAAAAAATTACTCAGCAACTAAGAGATTGAGAATCAGACCATATTGCTACAAGTTTCCCATCTCTGCATCCTTCCAATAAACAAGATGCTATCAAGTAAAATTAGTTACCAGCAGATCACCTGTAACTCAGAATTTACCTACCTTACATAGTTCCAAAAAAGAGAGAAAAAAATAAAGTCTTCAAATCTGAAATTAGTCTGAGTAGGTCTGCAGTGCCTAAACAGCTTAAAATTACTTGAGCAATTGTACCTTAAACCTTTACCATAAAGCTAAAGGTCACCACCTGCCCCAACCCCAAAATTTCTAAGCTGCAAAGCAATGGAAATTTATAAAAACAACTGCACTTCTGTAAAATACCATGGTTTATCTCACAGCCATGAGATATCCACCCTAAATTCCAACCAATTTTTCAACCTGCTGAAAACTTTCATTTTTCCACTGCTCAGAACTTTAGTCAAGAATCCTGAAGAACTTCTGTTCACTTGCTTTTAAACTATGCTAAATGATATTTTACACTACCTATAATGATGCCTTTCAGGTTTTTTTAAGCTATCACTGCAGCTAACAACTTTCAAGCCAGACAGTTTTCATTAAAATATCCCTCAAAGGCAGTGTAGATGAAAAACGTGTTCTAAAACGACATTAACTGAATAATCAGATCAGAATTTATCTAAGGGTTTGCTTTGAAATTTAAACCTTTATGCTGTTCTTCCTACCAGATTGTTAAAAAGTCCTGCAACAGACCACACAGAGTTGCAGTTGCAAATTCACTTTGAATTCAAGTGAATGGGACACGTAGCCAATTTTTTTTCCTGAGCATTATCTGAAAAGGATACCTAGAATATTCACTAAACACTAACGAAGTCCACAATCAGCAGAAGAAAACTTATTATCTTTTTAATTTATATTTTATGATTATTGAAAAAGCTCCATTCAGCTGTGGAAGTTGCAAGTAAAGATGCCTATCACACTTACCATTCTGAAAAATACCATATATAATTATATACAGGTGGTTTCTTTATCTTTTATAATGTCTTATGGAATAAAATCTGACAGATAAAATCTATCAGTTGACAGAGCTCTAGAGCTCAAACACAGATGATGCACTGGTTGCTATATTCCTCCTAACTTTCTAAGTGTACAAGAGGTACACGTGAAGTTAAACATTTTCCTGAATTGGAACCTACACCTTTTGCAGAAATCAGAATGTGGGTGGAATCAAGCTGTTGTAAACTGAGGCAGATGGAAAATTGCTGACAATCTGGATTAATAAAAATGGAAGATACAGTGGAAATTAGAGCTGTATCCATCACTGAGTGTGTATAGCTCCTGAAAAAAAAAAAGGCAACAAATCCAAATTTACCTTGCTTTGACAGATGAATCACAGGCCTGTTAACACCTGTTACAAGCCACCCAAGTCCCTGGCACTGAACAACCCTGGCTATGTGGATGCACACTAGCAATGTGTGGTTCTATACAGTCAAACTGAAGGCTACTAGAAACAAGGGACCTCACAGTAAGGTAGGGTCACCTTGCCAGGCAGTAATTCTGAACAGATGTGGTCACAGCACACAATGAAGTGGCCTCAGAAATATCAGCTGGAGATATAGTAACAGGTAATGAAAACTAGAACTAAATCTAAAAAGCATAACTTATCCAAAGGTAATATTACAGTCAACATGACCTAGCTTAAAACGAGCCATGTGTTCTGGTAGTTCTCAGTCTATGTTACTCATGTCATCAGACAAAATAATCCCAATGGTTCATTACTTTGTAATCTTTGAATCTCTGAATTAAGTACAACTCATTTTGGCCTATCCCCTCTTAATTTTCAGACATGGGAAATTAAAACATGAATACTCCCACAGAGTAAATAGAAAAAATCTGTATACATACTCTAGAATACATTCACAATCAAATTACTTCTCAGAATTTCCCATTAATAACTTTAAATCAACAAAAATAAATCAAAGTTGTTCATACCTGTAAAAAACCAAACCAACCAAAAACAAACCCAAACCAAAATATATCTGTTACACAATTCTAGCAGGAGGGCTGGATTGTAAGCACCTGCTTTCGAAGTTAATGATTGTCATTTAATCCTATGTCCAGCAATAAGCATCATTTCTATTGCCTAGATTTCCCTGATTAGAAGTACAAGCTGAATCCCAAAGACAATAAAACTAGATAGTGACCTTTGATAGATTTTTTTAGACACAAAACAACATTGTATTTTCTGGTACATTTCCTTCATAGTTGGGAAATGCTTTAGCACCCAAACCAGTAAATGTAAAAGACAGTCGGTTTTACATTTTATCTATAAAGATAAATTAAATAACAATGCTGACACCAATGTTTACCAGCTTCTTATCTCTGCTTCTAACTGTTACACTCAGGTGATAAGAGACTTGTATGGAGATGCAGTGTACTTTATTAGACTAACAGTATGTATTGGGGAAAAAAAACCCCAAGTATGACATACAACTACTTCTTCAGGTCTGAAAGAGAATTCCAGCAACTGAGTTCCATCTACTGCCAAAAGCCATCTTTAATTTTAAAACCACAAAATTTATTCATTAATAAAAATTATATTCAATACCTAAGGACAAGAGGTATTAAGCAACCTTTCTTCTTTCCAGGGAACATCAGTCAGTTATATGAATGAATTATAAACAGCAGGCTGAATCAACTGATAATACATGATAGATTAATTTAATGAATTATCTGCCGAGATATTCAGAAGTTAATCTAATATGAGGAAAATTATTAAAAATATAAGTCTATCCACCATCTCATTTAACCTCCATGCTGTTCTCATAGAAAGGTCCTAGTCCAGGATGAAAAAGGCCTTTTTCACCTTCAAAAACTTGATCTCTAGGGATTATACTTAGTAGGTATGCTCCCCTCCCCCAGCTTCAACTCACAACCGGTGTCCTCCCGCTTCCAGGTTATAACTCCGGTTCTCAATGAGAGCCTTTGTCATGACTTCCTCACTTGACAGCCAGCTGCTCCAAAGTCCCAACTCCACTATTTCACCCATTTCAGCTTGCAAAATCAACGACCATGCAGCCACCTGTACCTATCAGAGCACTTTTAGCAGGAATCTTGTAAATGATGATTCCTTACTCTGTCACAGAGCAAGTGAAAATACACTCTACTGATTTCTTTGGCAGGCCTCTACCTGTACTGATTGTTCCAACCTTAATAAAGTAACTGGAGATGCAGAGAATTCAGCATAAGGTATATGTCAGTAACTATTAGCCACGTTTCTGATGGGCATTTATAAAGAACCTGATTTAACACACAAATATTTGAGATGTCGACTTTACTATTACATTAAGAGAATAATATTAACAGTTAAATCGCTTAAAGTAATAGAGAGGCATTTAAAAACTGTTCCAGGTCCCCTTTTCAGGAAAGAAGTGACAAACCTACAAATACTTATACAAATATTCAAAAGACATATCAGTAAAAATGAAATCTAATAAAAATGCCTCTAACATGCATGTGACTAATGCCTTATGCAATAGTCAGTTGTCTGTCCATAGAACAAGACAGCGCTATTCATCACAGCATATATCAGGACACTGTCAATACTCAGCTCATCCAAACCAAGTTTATTATACTGTTTTCCTCAAATGCAGAAACTATTACAGTTGGAAAAAAACCCAAACAAACATTTTGCTTGAAAGCATCAGAAAGAACAAAATAAACAAGAAAAAATAATAAAAGCGGGTTTTTTTTCTGTGTTGAGTGAATAAAGAAGTTTTTCTGACATAAATCAAGAAAATACAACACATTTGCTAGTGCTCAGCCGTGGAGTCTGGAGATAATATTCTCCACTGAAACCTGAGCATTCGCAAACCAAATCTCTCTTCTTATTATCAAAGGAGTGAAGAAATGTATGATTAAACTTTCCAGCTCAAAATTCATCTAAACCTGCCTCGTGTTATTAGAGTGGTGAATATAAACCGTTTCAGCAACTGCTGGCTGAAAAGCTTCACAGAAACCATCCCAAGATACTCTGTGGTTAGAACTTTTTCTTTTTGCTACATTTTCTTCACCAAAGAAAAAGCATAGTAAATAGTTTTAGAGGAGCCAGAGTAGCTCACTGTAGAGAGGTATAGAGAATGGAAAATCAAAATGGCAAGCTTTAACCAGACCTTTTAAAATCATATTGACATGCAACAAATTTCTTTAAATCTGGCTCAAGATAATTTTTACTTTTAGGTGAATGATCTCTTCTAGGCTAAAACTGTATTAAAGTAACACTTGCCTAATATCACAAGTATATTGCTAGCAC